AGGGAGTAACATGTTTTTAGAAGCAGGAAACAGCCCCCAAATCTTTCTTAATAGCCCACAGCAGATGCCAGCACTTAAGAGATAAGAGCTTATTGAAAGAGGAAGACAACTATCTAGTAGCACTATTCATAAGCAAAGCAAGTACTGCAGGCAGATATCCATTCAAGATAGGATATTTCGAACCTCCTTGCAGACAGCTAACAAAGGCAGAATGATAGAATTAGAAAGCAGCCCCTCACCCAAAACCCAACTCAGAATGAAAAGCCATTAGCCACAATAGGAATTGCCCAACACTCTTTCAGAACACAAGTCCCTTCATTGCACCACCCCCATAATAGCTCAACCTTCAAAATTACAGAAATTTATAAAAATTAATGTTCTCAACAAACCAATTGTTCAGTGGACCCAGAACTGTCTTTGTGGTTCTGTTCAATAAACCATCTTTCCAATCAGTCTCCATGTTGTTTCCAGCATTTTTCTCCCAGCTTGGAACTGAACCAGATGGATATTTCTTCCAACAGTGTCACAACTTAAAATGTATCCTTTAGTTTTTGAATCATGTCACATGTAAGTATGTAAAAGTGGAATTTGTTAGGGCATTGCAAAGGGCTTTACATCTTTTGAAAACATACATTATGCTAAGCTATAACGTAGCTTGTTTAATTTTTATTTTCTATAATGTATAAACATAATCAGTTGTGTTTTGTCCCCCATGGTTAAGCAATCCATAGCTAAATGCAATCTTTGAAACAATAATATTGCTCTTTCTCATGCATATTCTTATTCTCCTCAATCTTTTCTTTACCTTGAGCAAACACAGTTACCACCATTTTTAATGGTCTGCTTTTGTCTTAAGCATCTTAAAATTATGGTTTATGCATAACTGTGGAATAAATCAACTATTATGACATTCAAGAAACTGAGGTAGTTAAAAATTTAGCATCCCAATATTTTGAGCTATTGATATGTTCAGACTTTTAAGAAACAACCTCATAAAATGCTGTAAGAGTGAGCACAGCCAATGCCCTTTACCAGAATACAAAACTGGTCACATTATTCTCTCTCTAGGCTGGTGATCAATTCAGCATTATTTTTATTTATTTTTATTTTATTTATTTGTTGAGCATGTATTAGATAACAGATATAAGTATAAACATGATTAATGATAATACATGAAATGGATAAGAATAAAAGGGGACGTTAGGACAGGGATGGTAGGCAGGTTGGTGCACTTATGCGCGCTCCTTAAAGACCTCTTAGGAATGGGGTGAGGTCAACAGTAGATAGTCTAAGGTTGAAGTTTTTGGGGTTTGGGGAAGAAACCTCAGGTAGAGTATTACAAGCATTGACCACTCTGTTGCTAAAGTCATGTTTCCTGTCAAGTTTGGTGCTTGATTAGGATACTTGTTTTGTGGATGCAGTATAGTGGTGAATAGATTTCCAAGAAGAGTTCAAAGTGTTCCCGTTGGCTTATAAAAACTACAATATTTGGGAGCATCTTCTCCAAGGAGAATCTGTCTACTTTATATAGGCAACTCAGCTAGGAAGTTCCTTCCCCTTCTGAGGTGAAATGGATAGAGCACTTCACCTCACAACTTTTTGGTAGCAGCTCATCAGTATCTGGATAGCCCCTACTTAGGGTATATTCTGGAAAAGTGAAGACAGTTCAACAAGGCTCTTGAAGGCTCTTTTACATTAAGGCTCCTGATTATTTTGTTTCCTTCTGGTTTTTATTTGATTACTTTTAATCATCATATTTCTGCATTTTAATTATGAACTGCTTGGAGTATTGTAAACTAACAACATACAAAGACACAAGTACGTAAATAAAAAGCTTGTATTTCATTTAATTGTATTTCATTTCTAATCTTTAACATACCGATTTTCATTTGGAAAGGTAATAATTACAGATAAATAATATTAATGTTAACTGAATGCTGCTCAATTAAGTATCTTCCAAAAAACTTAAGATCTGAAATTAATCCATAGGGCAAATTGATAATCTCTTCAATCTCTATGAATTTTAAAATGAAGGCAGTTCAAAAACTTCATTGAAGTACTGTATTTTATCTTGTTTTAACTGCCTTTGAAGTTCTGCTAAAAGATAAACTACAAATCTTTATATCAAAATAAGAAATTATTTTTAAAAAGCTATATTTTTCCTTATGAAAAAACAAGGTTACACACAAAGAACAGATTCAGTAATATCTGAAACAAATCAACTAAGTATAAAATCAGGACCTCAATTAAAAGCCAAATTAAAAAATACATACAAATATTGCCATTTCTTAAAATAACTCTAAAAGTCATGTATCAGTCTTTTAAATGCCATTATTTTCTTAAACAAAAAGATTTTTTAAAAACTTTAAAAGGCCAATAAGGCAAAATATATGTCCTTGGGCATCTAAATTTTTGAGAAAAAAAAAGACAAAAACAAAAACAGAGGCTATATCATGAGCTGGTGAGGGAGGCTTCTATTCTTTATTTTAGTGGGACTGCAGGGGCTTTCTTTGGGGCAGAATGCCAATTTGGATCTGATAGAATTAGGCAAAAAGGGGAATTGGGTTGGACCCTAATCATGAACAAAAGACAGGAAGAAAAAATGGTGCAGCAATCTCCATTTTACATCAGTTGAGACTTTCAAGAAGAGATTGGACTGCCATTTGTCAGAAATGGTGTAGGGTCTCCCGCTTTGGCGGGGGGGGGGGTTGGACTGGATGACCTACAAGGTCCCTTCCAGCTCTGATTATCTGTATCTGTATCTACTTGTTAGATTTATTTTCTTCATCACAAACTAATGCAATAGGTATAACAAGCAGTCTTAAAACAAATAGTAAAGACATCAAATGGGTAAAAACTTCTGTCATTTAGGATCAACCCACCAACAATAAATAAACAATCAATAGTTTGCAGACTAGCATTTGCTGGAGCATGTGTAAAGGCCTTGGAAAAAATATTCAGAAATTCTGATGTATTTATATCTATAAAGATCAGAATAGTGTAAGCACATGATACTTCATGTGATTTTGACTTTGAAGCAGAAGATTAGGATGAATATTGATACCGTGTTTCTCACAAAATAAGGCCGGGCCTTTTTTTTTTTGACCCCCGAAAAAACGGCTAGGCCGTCTTTTGGGGGGTGATTTAATTCCCCCCCCCTTGCATCCTCGGGCAGGTGGCGACAGCTTGGATGTTGACCTCGGCGTTGGTGGGGCACTTCATATCGGGAGACCTTCCACCACTGTTGCTTTCCCTTCTCCCCATGCTGTAACAACGTTTAGAGCAACATCGCAGCGTTTGGCGCAGCCACGCATGGCCAGCCAGGGCTCCTCCCTGCAACCAGAGCCCGGCGGAGACACTCAGATTCAGGCGCTCCTGTCGCCGCCTTCGAAGGCAAAGCCAATTCTTTTAAAAACGACGCCCTACTACTGGTACGACAAAGCCTCCTCTGCCCTCTTTCGGGCAGAGGAGGCTTTGTCATACTGGTAGTAGGGCATTGTTTTTAAAAGAATTGGCTTTGCCTTCGAAGGCAAAGGGAAGGTGGCAACAGGAGTGCCAGAAGCTGAGTGTCTCCACCGGGCTCCAGTTGCAGGGAGGAGCCCTGGCTGGCCACGCGTGGCTGCACCAAACGCCACAATATTGCTCTAAATGCCGCGACAGCACAGGGAGAAGGGAAAGCAGCAGTGGTGGAAGGTCTCCCAATACGAAGTGCCCCACCAACGCCGAGGTCAACGCCAGCAGCACCATATCCGGGTATGCAACAAAAGTACTTCCTAACAGCAAGCCCCCCCGCCATTCCCCCCCATTTTGCATGTTTAATATAGGCCTTAATTTAGGGGGGAGGGGCTTAATTTGATTTTATGCCTATAAAACATGCTGGGACTTCCTATTGGGGGAGGCCGTATTGTTTGAGAAACACGATACTTTTGAACTTTCAAGATTTCAAGGCCAAAGCCTCTGATATAAGTATGTAAGAGAAAAGACACTCATGCCAAAAGATCAGGCAAATTCCATTTTCTGAAGATATTCTTTCAAAATAAAACAGAAAAATATATGTGACAATGATTGGAATGTAAAATAAGACAATGGCATTCAGTAAGATTTTCATCTCAAAGATAAATGAAAATACATCTTAAAACATGCTATGTCTTCAGGAAATTAAATTGTAATAGTTCAATCTAAAGAAATTATTTATGACAGAGCAAAAGGAAATATCCTCCTACTCTTTCATGGCTCCTTGAATTACAGTGTACTCCTTTCAATAGGTGGGAACTTTGATGGGGCTGGAAGAGTATGTGGGGAAGGACCAGAAGGCTCTGCTTCCACAATCCTTATTATACTGTTGTTTTGTGCATCCAACCCTTAGTTTCTGTGCTCAACAGACAGTATAGCAGCAAATAATAATAGCCCAATAGTAAGGCGCAACAGGAGTCCCGTGTACACCTTCTATAGATTCAGATAGCAATTATTAGGGAAGTCTGCCTAAGCAGGGGTGGGATTCAAATTTCTTAACATCCAGTTCTGTGGGCATGGCCTAATTTGTGGGTGTGGCTTGGTGGTCATGTGACTGGCTGGACATGGCTTGTATGTACATATTATAAATATTTTTTTATTAAAATAAGAGCAACTTTTACCCAAAACCAGGCAAAGCAGGCAGATTGAGTTGCTTGCAGAATCACAGATTCACTCAGAGATCTACCTTTCTGCAATCTGCTGCCTGAGCTTGCACTGAAAAATAGAAGCTTCAGTCCTAAGGAAGGTTCAGCTCTGTTTTTAGATTAGCTAGAAAGCAAGAAATCCAATGATTTCCTGCTTTCTAGCTAATCTAAATCTCCCAGCACAGCAGAACAGCTGATGGTCGGGGGTGGGTGGGAAGGAAAAATAGTAACTTAACAAAGGCAGGCAAGTTTGATGGCATGCATGCCAGGTAAGGAGTGGGGATGGGGAGGGGAGGGGCTAGCCAGTGGCGCGATTTGCCGGTTCTCCAAACTGCGCAGAATTGTAACAACCGGTTCTGGAGAATCGAACTGGTAGAATCCCACCCCTGTGCCTAAGGCCCTGAATGCTCTTGAGTATATGATACTAGGCTATTGGATCACTTATCTGATTGTGAGGCCTGTGCAATGGTCCTAAAGAAAGATGAAAAGGCCCTTTGGAGCATGCAGGAGTGTGATTGCAGCAGGTCTTAAAACCATCTGCATCTTTTCCAGATTGCTAGCAGCTGCAGTGGACCCACATATGATCCTATAGGAAGGCCTGTCTAGTTTAAACAATTACAGATACAAGTTATGTTTGTGCCCCCCAGGATCCAAACTACCCTTTTGCATTCAAATACTGTATGAAACCTGATTATAATGCAATTCAGATAGTTATATTCCAAATGATAACATCTTAATGCTTTGCTGAATATAATAAAAATGAAGTGTTTAGTGTTTAGTTCCTCCTATTCTTCATGAGTGCTTCTTCATGAGACCTTCACAAGATCTAGAAAAACAAAACAAAGGCAAAATTAGTAGACTCTGGTCTAAATAATTGTTAACTGAGAACACCAAATACTCCTAAGATATTTATGCTGCATTAAATTTTGCCATTCTAAAACATGAGCATGTTGCGTTTCTCTGAATTACTTGAAGAGGAACACTTCAACAATATTTGGATCCATGTCCCCATCCTCTTACTTTTGCGGCTGGTTGCATTTAAGTCTTCATAGAGATCAATAAAGCATTCTTACTGCCAACTGTAGTAACAGCATCCGAACAGCTACCAAAGAAACAAAAATGCAAAAATTACTTCCCTGTTTCCTTCATGAGAAAATATGTAAAGTAGAATAGAAGGAACCAGCCCAGTACACTAGGAATTATATAGGTCCTTTTGTTTTAATATCATTCTGCCACAATATTATTATTTAAAAAAACCAAACTCATATAGTATAGGTACTATATTAATATCACAAAGTAATGAAAATAGGACTTCTGTCTTTCTGAAATGTTGACAAATGTTTGGCTCAAGAAGCTTAATCCAAAATTTTAAAAATGCTTTAGTTTTAAAACAAAAAATATGATGGAGCAGATTATGAATTGCATGTTGGTTAAAGGAACCAGAGTAGAAACCATGAAATGGTGAGTTATAATCCTGCCTTCGATATGTACCAAACTGAGGGATTTTTGGCCTGTGATTCTGCCAGACCTAGGAAGAAAGCCACGACAAACTACTTCTGAAAAACGTTGCTAAGAAAACTTCATGAATTTGTCCGTGTAATTGTCAGGAGACAAGACTGTTTTGCACATACATACATGCCTATTTTACTTGATACAGGATTAACTATTTTCACTTATGTTTTCTTTAAGTAGGCTTTTCAGCATAGTTTGGGGGGGAAATTGCTACACATGTAAATAAGAAATAATTAGATTGCCTGGAACAAAAATATTCTGCCTCAGAACCAAACTGCTTTCAGACCAGGTCAAGGAGTTTTGAGCCAAAAGCTGATTTTCTCTCTTGATTTAAGAGATTTCTATCTCCTTGGACTGTGCAGCAGCACTTTGGATTGTTGTGTACAGTTACTGCTGCTCTTTAACATTGTCACAACTTTTCATTAGATCAAATGGCTCCCCTCGGTCCCTTTTTGAAGTTGAACCCACAGCACGTTAGAATTGTAATATCTCCCCTGCAACCCCGGAGGAATGTCCCATACAATACTTCTGAATCTGCCTTTGGTCTTAGTCTAAGGATAGATTTTTGGCGGGGTGGGTGGGGTGGACAATCCTCAACTGAAAAGCAATTGTTTCTGTTGAACTGTCAGCTATTTTCTCATTTTTTATTACAATAAATGAACGACCAAAAATGATACAATTCAGCACAAAATAGAAATCAAAATTTAGATAGGGAAAAACATATGTATTAGAAAACAAACATGAAAACAAATGTATTAGAAATGCTACATCATTCCGAGTGGGGCAGAACTGAATTTTTTTTGGTGGGGGGGGGGGAATGACAATAGAATTTATCCCAGTTTAACATCATAATAAAGAATTGTCTTTTAATCAGAAAGAAGACATTATTAAGAGATGTACCTGTATGATACTGTAGAATGTTGAAGTTTTCGTTTATCTGACAAGACAAGAAAAATATATTACCATTTTATATTAGAAATTAAAGATATGTACAAATAAACATTCTTCTGTTTAGCAACAGCTCCTCCACATTTTCTGGATTGTATTCTCTCAATTTGTTCTTTCTAATCCAACCCTTTATCACATTCAGGCAATGTTCACAAGTACCAATAGGTTCTTGGGATTGGATGATAAATAGATTCCCCATCTATTCTTATGTTATGAGGGGCCAGGAAAGAGTCTACTGTTACACAAACACTTGTACAGCTTTGGATCATTCACTCACACACAGCTTTCCTGTCAAGCCATGCAGATCTCACGGCAGCTCTTGCTTCCTACCTGCGTTTTCCTGATAAATACAGCTAAAGCATACAAACAGGTGGGAAATAATTAGGAACATATTAAATCACTTTCGTGTGAGCATTGAGCTACATAGGTTTCCTAATCCAAAGTTACAGTAAAATTTTATTGATTTCAATGTACATTTGTTTTTTCTCACACGCTCACATGCTCATCCCCACTTGCCCACATCCTTCTCAACTGACCTAGACTGTGCAGGCACTAGGTAAGGGAATGGAAGCTGCCAGGTCCAGATCCAGAGTGACTTAAAAGTTGGGTGGGTTTCAGGTTTTCAAAAGAAAGCCCAGCACATTATATGCAAAATGCTGACAGTGTAAAAAAAAATATCACTGGAACAGATGGATGCACAAACACCCACCTAGTCAATTCCCTAATGAAGGAAGTTTTGATAAGGATACCATTTATCCAGAGGATAAGTATCATGTTTAAGAAGGCATGCTATCTATGTCCCATCAAATCATACAATTTTAAAGATGGGATTGGAGTGTAGGCACAGTGTCAAATATTACTTGATGGTCAGAGACAATGGGCAATGAAACAATGATCATCCATGGGCAAAATGGATGATCCCTCAGTTAATCAGGCCCTATGTTGTAAAGCGGAGATCCCCAACCTTCTTTGTACCGTGAACTGGTTTCCGGGAAAACAATATTTCCATGCACTGGTGGTGGTGGTGGCAGGAGCGAGAGGGGGAAATGGTTTCATGCACTACCTCGATCCCACACATGCACAGATGAAACTCACTTGCATGGCCTAATTCCTAACAGGCCATGCACCAGTACCAGTCCATGGCTTGGGGGTTGAGGACCACTGCTATAAAGCATTTTATGGGTCACAACCGATATCTTGAATTGTACCTAGAAGCTTCCTGCTGATCAGCAGAAGTATTACATGGGCATAACAGTACATAATAGATACAAACTCAAGGTTAACTGCACCAAACGTGACTGCAGGAAATATGACTTCAGCAACAGAGTGGTCAATGTTTGGAATATTCTGCCTGACTCTGTGGTTTTTTCCCCAAACCCCAAAAACTTTAACCTTAGACTGTCTACTATTGACCTCACCCCTTTCTTAAGAGGTCTGTAGGGGGCGTGCATAAGCGCACCAATCATGCCTAACTGTCCCTGTCCTATTGTTTCTTTTTATTTTTCTTATAAGTATCTATCTCATGTATTCAAAACTATGTTTATTCTTATACCTGTATCTTGTAAGCGATTGACAAATCAAATCAAATCAAATAAATAAATAAATACTAAGATATACCCGTAATTGCCTGCATCCCTGGCTTTTGGATCAGCTGCAGCTTTCAAGTGGTAGAGCAGCCGAACCTACAGTATATTGCAAAAGTTTATATGAAAGGCATCAAACAGCACTGTACTAGTCTTGCAATTTTCACAGTGGTTCAGAGCTCTCTTTGATGACTCTGTCAAGAGATCAACTGTGATTGGATGCCTAAGAGACCATGGACGCAGAGAAAGTTAATGAAGTAAATAGCTGAATGAAATATTCTGTATCTTGCTTTCTATTTTGTCCCCAAGACACTCTGAACAAAATGTGGATATCGACAATCACTCTATTTGAGGACACACAGTCAGTCACTGAAACCAATATTTCTCCTCCTTTCCCTTCAACCAAAATATTTACAAGAGCAAGCATCAATTTTTCAAAATTCTGTTTTAGTGTACAGCAGTGCTCTCAAATACATATTGGAGGCAGGTTTTCATGAAAGATTTTGAAACAGAAATAGAGCATATTAGAATTTTCCATTCTACTCTTAACTGCTTTGATACCATAAATAACAGGAAAGAAGAAACATAAAACAAATATTAAGATGAGCATCTATAGAGTCAAGGAAGCAATTAGAAAAACAAGGGTGTTGTCAGTAATTTCAATATGAATTTAATTAGCTAAAATGAAATTAGCAATCAAATATGATCTACTAATGTGAATGATTCTGCTACATTGATCACTACTACATACCTGTTACCTTTTTGCAGTGACGGCCATTGAATGTTATGCTGACTACGCTGACAAGGATTATTACAATCACCACCAGAATGACAATGAAAATGATGATACCTAAGTGGGAGTGGAAAACATCCATAATAACTTTTCTATTGTATATCATTAAATATTAACAATGTCAAGGATTACCAAAAATGCTTCCCCACAAAGGGAACATAACCAAAGGTGACCTTCTCAACAATTCTGCCCTAACAATCATTGTTATGATTGCTCCAAAGATGGGGGGGGGGTGGGATTTCAGTTTTAATAAGCTCATCTTCTGAGTTTTCATACTTAAAACTAAGCAATAATAAAGATGGGTACAGAACTTAACAGTGTGAGCTAAATGAGACTGGAGATCTATGTTGAGGTCTGTAGGGGGCATGCATAAGCACACCAACGTGCCTACCATCCCCGTCCTATTGTTTCTTTTATTTTTTTTATATGTACCCATTTCATGTATTCATAACTATGTATATACATATACCTATTATCTTGTAAGCGATTGACAAATCAAATAAATAAATAAAATAAATAAATGAATTCTAATTTGTCCAAGGAATCAATGTTAAGGTTTTATTGCCTTAGAAATCTATACCTCATGAGATCTAATGGTTTAATAGAAACCTCCTCACATAAGATTTACTTATGCCCCTGCAAATAGGACAAAGAAACGATAGGTGAAAGTTTACAAGAAAGAATCAAATAAATCAAATCAATGTCAATAATATTAAACTATATCCATTCATATTTCTAAGCAAAATGAAACTTATGCCACCATGTCTACTTACTTAATGCTGCCACTGTTAATGCTGCTGGTCTTTCTTCTGTAGGATAAGAGGTAGTAGGAAAGTCTGGTTTTTCATTCTGGAAATCTTTTGTGGCAATCATTAGTTTAGATATACCTGTGGATTCTTGGAAAAAGAGGATGCAGTTGAATAAAAGGAGTAAACAAATATCTCTTTGCTGATATGTGAAACAAAGATAAAGTAAATCCTTCCATTATTTGGACAGTGTTCTGTATTAACATTCTCGTAGACTCGCATTCTGATTGGTCCACCAGGACCGCAACCCGATTGGTCCACTGAATGACTGTGATTGGAGCGCTAAGAATCTACCGCGATTGGCCGAGCCGATCGCGGGAGATTCAAAGCGCTGCCATTGGCCGCCGAGCCGCCGGCCGGCTGTATAAAGCCAAGCGGCTCGCACACTTTAACTGTCCTTGTTTTAGAAGCTACAATAAAGAGCTGATTGTTCACTTTCGCGTCTCTCCTCTTATGTGACCCGATCCACTGATCTAACACTGGCGACGAGGATGGGATCGTGAGGCGAGGACCAACTAGCACGTGGCAAACGGTGATCAGCGCCCTGCAAGATGGCCAGCACCCTGCCGCCCGCTCCGTTCGACCCAGCAACCGAAGACTGGGAGTCATACATCGACCGCTTCCAGATGTTCCTAGAGTGCAGCAACCTCAAGGACGCCAACGGCCAGAGGAAACGGGCAGTATTCCTAACACACTGCGGGCCCGCGGTGTTCAAAATGGCCAAGGCGCTGGCAAAGCCCGCCGACGTCAAGGAGATGGACTGGGCTGACCTCGAGCCCATCTTGCGCCGCCATTACGCCCCTACCGTGCCCATCCTCATTCGTAGGCACGACTTCTACCGCCGAGATCAGCGTGAAGGCGAGACCATCGGCGACTTCGTGGCCCAGCTGCGGAACCTGGGGGGCCCCTGCGAATTCCCCGACCTGGACCAGGCGCTTCGGGACCGAGTTGTCCTCGGACTCCGAGACCCCGTGCTGCAGAGCCGGCTGATGGCCAAAGGCAACATCTCCCTCGCCGACGCCCGCGCCGAGGCTACCGCCGCCGAGGCCACCCGCCAGTCAGCAGCCCGGATGAGGCAAGCCAACACGACTGAACGGCCACCGGCCAACGAAGCGACCCCCGCCACCGCGAAGCCCGGGGAAACCAGCCGTCGAGAAACGACCACGCATCATGGCGACTTCGAACCCCAATCTGACACCGAGGACGAAGACGAGGAAATCCATCGGCTGCAGACCGAGCGCGACCACCGGGACCGCAGGGGACGTAAGTCGGGTTTCCATTGCGCCGGCTGCAGCGGCGATCACCCCCGCTCCGAATGCCGTTTTCTCGACGCCATTTGCAGGCACTGCGAGAAGCGGGGGCACATCGCCAAGGTGTGCCGGAACAAAAAGAGCTACAGCTCGCAGCGACGAGGAAACAGCCCACAACGACGAGACGGCACCCCCCCCCAGGCACCGAGACCGACCGACCGAGAGCCGGTGGAGCCGTGACAGCCGCAGCAGACGACTCAGCAAAGCACAGCGGCGCGAGGAAACCCACCAGATGGTCGTCATCGGCCATTCGTCAACCATGGACGCCCGAAAGGTACACGTGGCCCCGTGCATCGAAGACCAGCCCTGCGAGATGGAAGTGGACTCCGGGTCCTATCTCTCAATGGTTTCTTGGCGCACAATCAAGCGCCTAGTCCCGACCATCCGCCGCAACGAACTAGACGACCAGAAGCTAATCCTGAAAGACTATCAGGGAAACCGCATCCCTGTGGCCGGCATCGGGCACTTTAAGGTCACATTCAAGAACCACACCGACATCTTGCCACTCACAATCGTGGACAGGGACCGCCCCAGCTTACTCGGCCTGCAATGGTTCGCCCCGCTGGGCATCGAGGTGACGGGCATCCATTACACAGACGAGGCCGACTGGGAAGCGACTCTCGTAAAAGAATTCCAGGAGGTCTTCGACAACTCGCTAAGCAAGTACCGAGGGCCCCCTATATCTTTCAACCTTAACCCTAACATCGCCCCAATCCGCCTCAAACCCCGGCGAGTGCCTTTTGCGCTCAAGCCGAAAATCGACGAGCAACTAGACAAGCTTGTCGCGCAAGGGGTACTAGAGCCCATCGACCATGCCCGTTGGGAAACGCCCATAGTCACCCCCATCAAACCCGATGGCTCCATAAGAATTTGCGGGGACTACAAGGCCACCCTCAATCACGCGCTGCAGCAAAGCGCCTACCCAGTCCCAGTTGTACAGCACCTTCTGCACTCACTGGGGGGAGGCCGGATCTTCACAAAACTCGACTTGGCACAAGCGTATCAGCAATTGCCGGTCGATGCGGAGACAGCCGAAGCGCAAACGATTGTTACACACCGGGGGGCCTTTAGGTGCAACCGACTCCAATTTGGAGTCAGTGTCGCCCCAGGAGTCTTCCAAAGTCTCATGGAAAGGCTCCTCCAGGGAATAAAAGGGGTGGTTCCCTACTTCGATGACGTGCTGATCGCAGCCGCCAACAGAGAACAATTGGAGACCCGTTTAAGGGCGGTGCTTAACAAATTCAAAGACGCCAGCCTTAAAGTCAAAAGAAACAAATGCCAACTCCACACCGAGAGGGTCGAGTTCCTGGGGTACCTCCTGGACCGGCACGGAATACACCCAACCGGGAAGAAACTCAGAGCCATCAAGGAAGCCCCCACACCAACAAGCAAGGCGGAACTACAGGCATTTTTGGGACTGCTTAATTTTTACAATGTTTTCCTACCCCAAAAGGCGACCGTGGCGGAACCCCTACACCGGCTACTCGATAAAGCGGCCATCTGGACCTGGGGGAAGCGGGAGGAGACTGCGTTCCAATGAACAAAAAACCTGCTGACATCGGACGCAGTCCTGATCCAGTATAGCGAGACCCTCCCGCTCACGGTAACTTGCGACGCATCACCTTTCGGCATCGGAGCAGTCCTCAGCCACACCCTACCCGACGGGAAGGAAGCACCCATCGCCTTCTTCTCCCGAACGCTGGCCAAGCCGGAAAGAAATTACAGTCAACTGGACAAAGAAGCCCTCGCCATCGTCGCCGGAGTGAAAAGATTCCACGAGTACCTTTACGGTAGGAACTTTTCGATCATAACGGACCACAAGCCCCTGCTCAGGATACTCGCAGTGAACAAGGCCACCCCGAACATCCTGTCACCCCGGATGACGCGGTGGTCCGAGTTCCTTGCCGCATACTCATACGAACTGTCACACCGGCCCGGCAAGAACATTCCGCACGCTGATGCACTAAGCCGGTCACCACTACCCAACCTAGACGACGACCCAGCACCCACAATGACGACCCTGCAAATCGAGACCCTACCCAGCCCACTCTTAACCGCGCCAGACATTGCCCGTGAAACAAATAAAGACAAACGGCTGGCGCGGGTATTGAGCTGGGTAGAGCGAGGGTGGCCAGAAAGTGACGGCGGCGAGCAGTTCAGAGCCTTCCGAAACCGCCAAACTGAGCTGTTCTCGCAAAGGGGGTGCATACTCTGGGGCGACCAGGTAGTCATACCGGAAGCGCTACAAAACAGAGTGTTGGCAATGCTGCACGAGGGACACCCGGGGGTCGTCAAGATGAAAGCCCTGGCCAGAAGCTACGCTTGGTGGCCAGGGATGGACAAACAAATCGAGACATGGGTCGCCGGCTGCAGCAGGTGCCAAGAGTCGAGAGCCAACCCCCCCGCCGCCCTGGTCCTGGAATGGGAAACCCCGAGAGGACCATGGTCGCGAATACACATAGACTTCGCCGGGCCAACCAAGGGGCATACATTCCTCATCACCATAGATGCTTACTCCAACTGGCTGGAGGTAAGCACTATGAGGGCAACAACAACAGAAGCGGTCATCGACAAGCTCAACAGACTCTTTGCAACGCACGGGCTACCGGATGTCATAGTGTCGGACAACGGGCCACAGTTCATGGCACTGGCATTTGAAAAATACCTGGCTGAACGAGGCATCCGACACGCCTTAACCTCGACGGCTCACCCAGCGGCGAACAGTAGGGCGGAACGGATGGTCCAATACACAAAAAAAGCCATCCAAAAAATCGAAACCGGCGACATCCAGGAAAAAATAAACAAACTACTCTTCATACAGCACATCACGCCGAGCACGACAACGAACAAGAGCCCAGCGGAGTTACTGATGGGAAGGAAACTGAGGTCTCCACTGGACCGCCTACACCCCACCTACAACCCAGAGAAACCCCCAGACTCCTCCAGCCGGTACCGGGCATTCAACATCGGGGATACGGTCTACGCGAAGAACTTCACGGGAGACCCCCTCTGGGTACCTGCACAAATAACACAGGTAACCGGGCCCCGATCACACAGACTCCAAACGACAGACGGAAGGAGCTGGAAGCGGCACATCGACCAACTACGGTCCAGACTAGCCGCCAACACCCTCGACGCCTCGGAAACAACAACCAAGGAAAGCAGAGAGGGAGGGGAAGCCTCAACAACCAAGACGGTAAACGATGGAAGGCCGGAACCATCAACGGCACACCCCCCAACGCAAACTGAACACCCCCCAGAAGACAGAAACGTTCAAATAAACCAGCCATACTCACCAGCAGACCTCGAACTGTCGCAGACGGGATCTTCACCTGGAAGGTACAGCCAAGCCAGCTCAACCAGCCCGGAAAGACCGAGCAAGAGCAACAGGAACCGCAACTCGACCAACCCAGGTAGTCCGGGCGGGAGCTGCGGCGACAGGCCCGGCTCACCCTTCCAGGCGGTTCAATCAACGAAGTTGAGAGCGACGCGGAGCCCGTCCGAACCGGCCGACGATCACACACAGACTGAACCGCGCAGGTCAGCTAGACAGATTCGGAGCCCCACCTACCTGCGCGACGTCACAACGCTACGTCGGACGAAACCATGAGGGGAGGGGTGTTCTGTATTAACATTCTCGTAGACTCGCATTCTGATTGGTCCACCAGGACCACAACCCGATTGGTCCACTGAATGACTGTGATTGGAGCGCTAAGAATCTACCGCGATTGGCCGAGCCGCCGGCCGGCTGTATAAAGCCAAGCGGCTCGCACACTTTAACTGTCCTTGTTTTAGAAGCTACAATAAAGAGCTGATTGTTCACTTTCGCGTCTCGCCTCTTATGTGACCCGATCCACCGATCTAACAGACAGATCTGAAGTTAAGCCATTGTCTGTGGAGGTGCAACTTTGGGGAATAAATGGGTTGGGCTACTAGAACTCTCACTCTTCAATTGGAACTGAATACGCATGGAATGATTCCCTTTTAGTCCCACCATTCGGCAGGAATACCTAACCAAGGCAGAAAACCTTAACTGAAGATTTTGAACCTTGTTCAATTATGTTAAACTCGGATTCCTGACTTGTTGCTTTCCTAGTCAGCCAGGAACAAATCCTAAGACTTATTTTTGGCTTTAAAAGATTGGCTTTTTAGAAGAGCAAAAAGTCATGAATCCTGTTCAAAAATAATACATTACACAAGCAAAGTATAGACCAACAATGCTACTTTGTCCTAGTAAATAAATATATCAAGGAATAGTGCTTTATTCTGACACACACCAGATCAAAATGATTAATTAGTTAAGAAAATATTGTATGATTGTGCTGCAGCAGTCTCATTCTCTTCTTCCTATGCCCAAGATGCTAGAGATGAAATGTACAGTATAATTAATTAATTGATACTAGCAACATGGGACAAAAAGAGCCTAAGAGAAAATCAGTAATTACATTTTTTATACCAGTGTTGTCTGTCACACACAAATACACTCACAGAGACAATATATTGTAAAGTAATTTAGAGACAAGCTAACGTCAATTAAGAAATTAAATAATTAAGTAAATTTTTGGACTCCTCACCAAGATGGCTGCTGAATGGCAAAGAAATATTTCTATCCTATCAATGATCTGCTGATTCTGCTTCCTACGCTGGCTCCCTGGCAGTCCTGCTCCCTAGATGTGAATGGGAACACTTAGGAATGACCCAAGACAATTTTTGGGAAGGGAAGTTTTGAAGTTCCCTTTGGGAGTTGTTAAAAAGTCATGGGCATCCATCTTGCTGTAGGCATTTCGGGGTTTTTTTTTAAAGTGTGCCTGGGTCTTAATTTCACTTTTAAAATTTCCTTTGCTTTTTGTCTTTAAAAGTACAGAAGACTGGCTGAATGCTGATTTGTTTCAACCCACTGTTGAAGTTTAGCTGTTCTCTTTCTTTTTCCTTTGATTTATGCTGTTGTTCTAAATAACTTTCACTTTAACAAAGAGTGCTTTTCAATGGTGAAGTGCTTCCATTCAAATTATATTAATAATGGACTCTCACCACAAGGTTTTTGTTATTTTTTTTAATTTGCACAATACTTAGTTTTTTTTTTCTTTTAATCTTGGATTGAAATATCCAGAAAAGACTTTTCCTGCTTTCTTCTGCTTCAGCTTCTTTATTCTATAGTTAAACTTCATAGAGCATCAGTATACTACATTACAGACAAGCAATAGCTAAAATCTAAGAAAATATATTTTAGCAACATGCACCATTTAATTGAAAGCTTTTAAAAAAATGTTTGATGAGATAATAATGCTCATAGAAAATATGTGCAGGCTTTAGAGGAATCTCATTTGAAAGCTGCAGATCAAAGAGATATTGACTACACAGACAGAGAACTAATTGAATTGATTTCATACATCTCTGTGAACTTTAAATCTGCATTTGTTCATTCAACAGAAGCCTGACACAGACAAGTGACAAAACTGTGTTTTCTTGGGAGGACTGGGGAATACTGGAGAATGGGTTTATTACTCTTAATTGCCAAACACTTTTATCTGGACATTGCTGGGAAGATAGACCAATTGTGGAGATTGAATATATGATATTTAACTAGACAACAATAGATAAGAAATGGTATCAAGAAACAAACGTGGATATTTGATCCAGGATTAATTATTCTTCACTTTTCGGATGGTTTGAGATAGAGAAGATGCCATGGTAAATTTTCTAGAAAGTGATCACAGTAACACTTTGTTAACAGTGGGTTTGGAAACCCTAATCTTGTTCTATATTGTCATTAATATAGCATATAGATGACAGTTCAATAATTTGCAAGTGGATTTACTAGTTTAATAAATGGGAGAGGGGACTTCTTTCACAAGGGGTGGAAACTAATATTGTAGCAATGCATAAATCAGTATTCAACCCAGGGGATAATATGTCTATGTATGTTGGGAGTTTTCTTTTTTAATGCACCTTTTTAATTTCTTGTATGCTTTGTATCTTGGGTTTTTTTTAAAAAAAATATTTTAGTATTTTTTTTCTTTGAATAAATAAAAATAGTTAAAAATTAAGTTTGTTTTCCCTCTTTCTCCCCTGAAAGTAGAGTACTTTTCCAGTTGGATGGTGACTGTTAAAACACCATTTTATGTAGCTTTCAAAAGGCTTTTGGATTAGTCTTTTCGATGAAGCAGGCTTAAACAACTTTTGCTTTGCAAAATAGAAAGATGTTCAGTCATCAGTTCACTAATAATCACTGATGTAATATACAATAACAGTAATAACATGCTGCTTGCATAAAGATTATATAAAATTATTTTAATTGTACGCATGTTAATTAATAAGTTGCAGGCTGTCTAAAGGCAGGGGAAAGCAGTTTTTAAATATATAAATTAATGTTGATTTCCTGTTTTGGATTATTGTTTATTGCTGCCTTCTTTTGCTCCACTTTTACATATTTGGGTGTCTCATGAGGTACCAATGCCTTATATATTCCACAAAGAAAAACTGGGGAAAATAGTGTGGGAAACAAACAGTCCTGGAATAGGACTGAAGGCATCTTACCAACTATCTAACAGTTTTTTTAGTTACTTTGATAATAATTTACATAACTTAATACACTTTTCTCTCATAAACAAAGCTAGAATCTTTTAAATCCATATTGGAAAACACTGATTACTGTGGAATAAATCAACACTGTGACAGAATTTGCTTGGGACTTAGTATAATAGGCTTTGCAAATAAAAAGGAAGATATGAAGATTAATGTTTTATTTCATGGAGAAAAAATTACATTTCAAATTAATTTTTATCCATCCAGTTATGAGACTTTGTTTAGTTTTCACATAATTCTAAATTGAAAAGAAAATGATGTTGTATAATAAATAGGAGCAGCTGTCCTCTACCTGCCAAGGTGGGAAGAAAGAGACTGCTATTCTCCTTAGGCTCAGGACCTACAAGCAAAATGAAAAACAAGGATGTTCTTAGAAGACATTCGAAGGAAAGTTCTGGTTTTCATAACTATGTACTTAAAGAAAAACTAATTTTCTCCCTCATAAATCTTGAAATAGCCTATTTCAACAATGCCCTCTTATTCCCATTCATTAGCTGCTAGTACTTCAATTTCAATTTCATCATGAGGCATGATCTGTACTGGCCCTTCTGGCCCTTTCAACAAATATTTCCAATGCTCTTGGAAAAAAAAACTTCATCCAATGTGGCATACCCAAGTTCCTTACATATCTCCTCCCTCAGATTTCCATAAACAGTGTGGATTGTCACACCAATATTGATACCTCTTTCGCATATGGTTTCCTCAATTTCTGATTTTGCCCACATGTTTTAAATATTATTGTTGTCCCTTTTATCTTTCACTCTAGCTGATTTTCCATTTCCTTTTTGTCTAATTTACCTTTTCTGTTGCATTCGTGTCCTCAGGAATAGCATACCCCTGGAAAGATACATCCTGCTTGTTTTCCCAAAGTCTTTTAAGACCTGTCTTTGGTACCAGAGCTGGGACTAGGGTGATTGTTGAACTCCTCTGAAGTTTTTGCATATTGGGGAGTGTTCTTTTGATTTTTAATATGCTTTTAATATATGTGTATGACATATTGCACATTGCTCAGAGTATTCTTGGTATTGGGGGGCCTTAACAAATCCAATAAATAAACATGCTACATATGGGTCTTGTTTAATATTATTTTTGGTATGGTGCTTTTGAAAATAAAATTTATTGTTTTAATTTATTAAAACAACTTTATTTTGCAGTGAAAGGAAATTTGTCACTGAACTCTGATTCATTTAACATAATTGTTATTTATGACTTCTTTGCTGGGAAGATGAGGCAAGTCACAGTTTCCCTGATTTTGAGAATAATAAGTCCATTAGTGTCCAAATGACAAAAAGCCGATTCTTCAGGAGTGCATTAAAGGAAGAATAGAAGCAGGGTCAGTTCAGGATACAAAAGAGGTTTGCTGATCAACTCCCTTAAGAATAGTCTTATAAGAATAATTACTCTAGAGGATGGAGAATGATTTAAGAGATACTATACTTAATTTATGTTTTCTGAAATATATGTATCATTTCTTCTTCTTTACTTTTTGTCCACTAAATCTATATCTCAGGTGAAACCATCAATATTAAGGCTAGAAAGAGAGAAATCAGAAACAGCAATAGTAACAGTTCTAGGCTGAACACTTGGTCTTCCAATCTTTCTGCCTTTGTAATATCTTGCTGAGCCTTGATACATAATAAGGAAGTGTTTCAAAGTTATTGTCTCAACTATCTAGGAAAGACATGGTACATATAAAGTCATATTTGCACCAGCCTAAGAAAAAGTATTTGTGGATATCTCCCTATGAATTATAATTTGTCTGAGATTTAGGCATCAGATATGCATATAAAGTCCATTTTTGTTCTATCTGTAAGCCATCGTTTGTTAAACAATTATGCTATTTATTTATAAATGTTATACATTAATTAAATTAATTAATTAAACAATTATGTTATATGAAATATTATTACTGGTGATACATTTCCCCCTATCCCTCTCCAGTCTACTTATCTGTAATGAGCCAATCTGTAAGGTCAAGATTCAGAATCTATTTATAAAACAATATGAATAGCAAGAGATTTCCAACAACTAACAACTCTTTTGACCATTCATGAATACAGAGAAACTGTTAGCTTGTATCTTGAAAATTTATGAAACTGATTTAAGCTGAAAAAGAACATTATTGCATCTAGCTCAGCAGCATCAACAATTCTCCAGTGACTCACGCAAAAAGAAGCCTTATCTAAACATGTTAGACATTTTTTAATTGTATCTGTCACAGAAAAAATAATTATGCAAGCTAACCATCTATTCTATTGCTGAATGTTGATCTTCTAACTGAATGCAGTGAAGCTGCAATTGTCGTCTTGATTATTAAAGAACTTCATGAGGCTTACTATTGAATAGACATATGATTGGTCAATACAGTACCTTACCTTGGAGAAGAACAAAGTGACATATCCACAAAAATATTAACATTTTTAAAGCTATCATGTTTTCTTCCACTTGCCAGTTCTTAGTTCCTTACAGTTCTATTCATTCTGTGATCAGGGAAAAAAATGGGGTGAACTTTGACTGTGTGAGTAGATTGTCCCAGGGTTTCCTGTTAAATAATAGAAGGAAGCAGCCTCAATCAACAAGCGGATTGACCCTGTGGAATTTTTCTCGCCTGTTATAGTTTTGAAGGATATGAGACATAATTAATCAGTAAAAAATAAATTTAATCACAATTGTTCTAACTCTACATACTTTCAGAGTACCTATTTTCTGAGGATGATATCACATGCATGTAAAAAATAAGACTTGAGGATTGGATTTGAAAATGAAAATTTCCCCATTCTGGTCCAAGAAAAAGGCTGTGAAAAGATAGGTTTAACTACTTCACAAAAAGATAGGTTTAACTACAAGAAAATGTTTATCTCATTTTTAGGTGGTTAGCTAGGTACCATCAATTCAGGCCAGAGACCCAGATGGACAAATGTCTGTAATCTGCCTCCAGCAATACTCCATAATGCCTACAAAGATATTCCAATAATATCCAATTCATTCACCTTATCTATTTCTTCCCTTGCTATTTTCCTCTTCTGGCCAAGAGAGTCAGCTAACCTACATCTGCTCTCATCCCATGCTCAAAATAATCCCCAAACTCAATTCTTAGGGTAGCTTCTTGGTCCTTGTAAAGTTTCCTCAGAATACTAAGGTGTTTTGGCACACTTATGGATTTTAATATATTTCCCTTTACTTCTTGACATTATTGGTTAAAATATGTCCTTGTCCTTTGTAGTTTGACTCTGAATGTGGTTGGCCTCTGATGCCAAAGGCCTTCATTCTCCCTGTGAGAGTTTGCATTGAAAACTACTAGTTTCTTTCCCTTTTTGAACTTTTGAGAAATTTTCTTTTGCTTTGATTACCACGTTCCATTCCTTTCACATTTTTCTTTGTCTCTCCCATAACTCCTCAAGTTCTCTACTGTATACACATTTAAGCATACCAAATCTGTTCATTATAATGATCTTATATACTAACTATGTATTCCAGGACAACTTCTTCTAGCAAGCCTCTTAAGTTTAATTTTCTAAGTTTACTATATACAGTATTTAACATCAGTAATTAATAATCTGTCTTGCAACCTAAGCCTGAAAGTCTTGGATCTTCTGCTTCTTATTATAATAGTTGATTTTATTCTGATGTTATCCATCAACTGATGTTACACATAAAGTTTGCATTTATGTTGCTTGAGGGAGACGTTGACAAAGAACAAATGTCTTTAAATTATGTCTTAACCTATAACTTATATTTGCATTTACTAATCCAAATATTCTTGTAATTGTAGGTTTGGCCATTTCTCCAAATGTTGCATTTTTTTTTTATTTATACATCACATGTTTACCCGGCCATCTCACCTAAATGGAACTAGGCAGTTTATAAATTATTTACATTTTATCATTTACATATATTTACATACATTTTATTGTTTACAAAACATTTATATTTCATGGTTTATCCTACATTTACATTTGGTATAGCATTATGTCATGATTATTTAATTTCTTCCAACATTGTATCTAAATTGGGAGCATATAATTATTGAAATGGGATGTGGGAATGACCAGTAGTGGGGGTGGGGAAAATGTCAAGGGGATCAGATAAGGGGGGAAATAGCCCAGAGCAGGGGTCGCCAACCTTTTGGACCTCAGGGACCACCAAACTCATAATTTAAAATCCTGCGGACCACTAATATGAATTTTGAGTGATGCTGACTTGCTGACGTTGGTGGGAGAGAGAGAGAGAGATCCGATCTAACCTCGGAGGGCTGGCGGTGATGTTTTCTCTCTCTCTCTCTCTCTCTCTCTCTCTCTCTCTCTCTTTCTTTCTCTCTCTCCCTCTCTCTCTCTCTCTCACACACACACACAGAGGTCCCTAACACACACACACACACGCCCTCCAAGGCAGCCACATTCCTAACCTGCTTTTCAGCTCCATTCTTGGGGGGGAGAGGAGAGAGACACTTTTGGCTTCATGCATGGAAAGCAGCAGAAGTCTTTCTTTCTCTCCTCCAAACTCCACCAGAATGGCACAGCCTCTTGGAGCAGGATGCTTTTCAGGGTCTCATTTCTGGTGGAGTTTGGGGGAGAAAAAGAAAGACTTTTGCTGCTTTCCTTGCATGCAGCCAAAAGCAGAAGAAAGAAGCGTAAAGAAGCAGCCTGGTGGCCAGGCAAGGTGCATGGGGTGAGTGGGGCAAGCCCTTTCCCCCTTCCCCTCACTACCTCGTGTTATTCACAATGCAAGTGATGCAAGCCTTGTGTTCCCGCTGGCCATGTGAGCAGTGCAGCCTTGTGTTCCCACGCAGCCTGGATTAATTGCTTTGGCGGGTGCTTTGAGGGTGACATTTCTCTGTGGACCACCAAAATTTTCTCGCGGACCACCAGTGGTCCCCGGCCCACCAGTTGGTGACCACTGGCCCAGAGGACACAGTCCATGACTGCATATCAGGCAAAGAAACTCAGAAGAGAACTTCCCTAACATTTTACACTGTAAAAAAGGCAGTGGGAGATTGTAAGATTCTGTTAATGTAGCCTTTCAATAAAGTAGAATTACTTCATCTGGTCGTGATTCCTGTCTGATCTACCTGGGAAGGATGATAATTATATATCACTGATTATTCGATTATTTAGTCCATTCCAATTCTTCGTAACCAACCAGACATCACTTTGCTGTGATTGCCCATCAATAATCGCTACTCTGAGTTTTTGCAAGTTCACATTTCTGTCCTTAAGAAAGTATCTAACCACTTCATCTTTTATGGTTTCTTTTTCTATCACTTTTGATTTTTCTAAGATGTAGAATCTTCTAACTCTTCCCCTCAAAATAAGTGTCCAAATATTTAAGTTTCACTGTGCCTTCAGCAAGTAATATAATTTTAATTCCTCTAATAGTGACATTTGTCCTTTCAATGCTTGTATTCTCAAGAGATTGTTTTTTTATTAATAAAGTTTTTATTTTTTAAGACAAACGTATACAAACAATACCTAAAAACATAAAACCATCTTCCATTTTATATACATACAGTGTGTCAGTTGGTTGCGAATCTTTCGTGCAATCCTTTCATAGTCATTGCTCACAGTTTATATCAATCTCACATTGTCAAACTAACATATGCTTATATATTTATCAATTGTTAATCATCCATGACTAAACTATTTATTCCATCATTTTATACGAGATACCCCAAATTTTATTTTAAAATTTATATTATGCTTTCATCCAATGGGTTATATATGTCTACATTATATTTTATATCAATCTATTAAACTTCTATAACAAAATTATCTATTCTATTACATTACCATGTCTTTTTATCCAACCATTGATAAAACAAATCCCATATTATATAAAATTGTTTATCTTCTTGTTCTCTAATTTCAAATGTCAATTTACTCATTTCAGCACAGTCCATAATTTTCTTAATAACTTCCTCCTGCATAGATATTTTATCATTTTTCCAATTCTTCACAAATACAATTCTAGCCACTGTTAAAACATTTACAATCAAATATTTCAGCTCTTTGTTGTATGTTTCCGGTATGATTCCCAATAAAAAGATCTCTGGTTTAAATTCTATATGTTGTTTTATCATATTTTCCAACCACGTGTGGATTTTAGTCCAATATTTTTTTTCATCCGAACATGTCCACCACATGTGGTAATATGAACCAGGTATCTGATGACATTTCCAACATTTATCCGATTTATTCTTAAACATTCTTGCAAGTCTTGTCGGGGGTAGATGCCACCTGTAAAACATCTTATACAAATTTTCTTTATATACAGTTGACCAATTGCAGGTGAATTTGTTAATATATAACATCCCTCCCCACCTGGTCCAGTCCAACCAATCTGAGCCTCGCCTACCATACATAATCACGTAGGTAGGCAGGGCTTCTATGGGTTTGACTGGACCTGCGCAACTCAGTCATGGTTTGGCCTCTGGACTGTTCGGACGGATCTGTTGTTCCTCACATCCTTCTTCTTGGAACCTCCTGGAAGGTTGAGTCGGCCATGCCGCTCCCACCAGGAATTTCCTGGCTGGTTGAGTTGGTTTAGCCGCTCCCGCCAGGGGCTGCTTTCCCGCTATCCTTCTGGACCTGTTCCTGTCTCCCCAATCTGCCTTCTTCCCTGGTCTCAGGTACGTGTTTGTGTTTTACGACTGGGGCTAATGTTAGTAGAGGTTGTTGTGTGTTTGTAGTTGTCAGGGTTTGTTCTGTTGTTTTCCTTGCTTGTGGAGGGTCTCCCCCTCCCTCTCTCCTTGTGTTTGTCTGTTTGAGGGGTCTCCCCCCTCTTCTCTTGTTGTGTTTTGTTTGCTTGAGGGGTCTCCCCCCTCTTCCCTGGATTTGTTTTGTTTGTTTGAGGGTTCTTCCCCCTCTTCCATGGGTCGGTTTGGGTCACCCCTCGTAACTCTAGATCTGAGCTGGTCTATGTGTCTCTTCCAGCTCCTACCATCCATAGTGTCTACCCTGTAGGAACAGGGTCTGGTTATCTAGGTCACCTTCGCTGGTATCTACAATGGTTCCCCTGTAAGGTTTTTTGTGTATACTGGGTCCCCTGTTTGAAATGTGCGGCAATTACTGGAGGATTCTGCTGGTTTTTCTGGTCTATATGTGGGGTGCAGTCTGCCTAGATGTGATCTAAGTTTCCTCCCCATTAGTAACTCTGCTGGACTTTTATTTGTTGTGGCACTGGGTGTCATGTGCTGTATGCTTAGTAGCTTATCTATCTTTTCTTGTGTGTCCCTGGGCCCCAGCTTTTGTAATGTTTCCTTTGTGTAATGTACCATGCGTTACACCCATCCATTCGTTGACGGGTGTCCCGGCACTGTCAGTGCATGCCTTATCCCATGCTGTGCTAGAAATCCCTCGAATGTTGTTGCCATGAATTGTGGCCCGTTGTCGGATACAATTAAATCTGACAATCCATGTGTTGCAAAAAGTTTCCTGAGCTGTCTAATGATGGCTTCTGTCGTGGTGGAGTGCATGGTGCTTACCTCTGGCCATTTGGAGTAAGCGTCTACGATTATT